TTGTTTGTGCATGATCCCGAGGCTCACATTCCTGTCCCACACACATCTCATCAATGAACGGTTCAGCTGAGAACTGAACATGCAGCATAGTTCCAGAATATCCAACATTTTTCTATAAAGTAACAGACACAGCGTGAATCGCCCGCAAAGTCACACGTGTGTTACGGATATGTGATGCTGGACACGTATGCATGCCTCTGTAACACGGAAGAGAGAGAGAGTCTGAGTGTAATGCCCTTTAAATGTCAGACGATTAAGGGTGACCAAGAGAAGTCTGTGCCCTCGCTGTCAGTTAGACATTACACTGGGCTTCCAAAACTCCATTAGTCACATTTTCCCTCAATAACAATTTCTCAACATTTGTCTTAATAGGTAGCTACATCTTAATAAGGAGACACATCAAGCGTCAAGTGTTTCCATTGTTAGTCCATAGCAGACGATACTCAACTGTATCTGTCGATCAAACCAGAAGAGACCAACCAGCTAGTTAGACTTCAAAAATGTCTTGGAGACATAAAAATTTGGATGACCGGCAACTTCCTGATGCTAAACTGAAAAACAGAAGTTATCCTGATAGGCCCAGAGCGCCTTCGAAGCAAGCTGTCACGTGATACAGTTTTTATGGATGGAATTGCTCTGGTACCCAGCAGCACCGTCAGGAATCTGGGAGTTCTCTTGGACCAGGATATGACCTTCAACTCGCATATAAAGAAGACTTCACAGACTGCCTTTTTTCATCTACGTAACATATCAAAAATCAGGAACTTCCTGTCTCAAAGTGATGCAGAAAAATTAGTTCATGCGTTTGTCACTTCCAGACTGGACTACTGTAATTCTTTGTTATCAGGCTGCTCTTGTAAATCTCTTAAGCCTCTCCAGTTGATTCAGAATGCTGCAGCACGTGTATTAACAAGAACTAAGAAAAGGGATCATATCACTCCTGTATTAACTTCTCTGCACTGGCTCCCTGTTAAATCAAGAATAGAATTTAAGGTACTTCTCACCGACAAGGCACCGTCTTACCTTAAAGAGCTTGTAACAGTTTATTGCCCTACAAGGCAGCTGCGCTCCATAGATGCTGGGTTACTTGTTGTTCCTATGGTTTTAAAAAGTAGGCTGGGGGCCAGAGCCTTCAGTTATCAAGCTCCTCTTTTGTGGAACCAGCTTCCACTTTCAGTCCAGGGGGCAGATTCGGTCAGCTCTTTTAAAGTAAAACTTAAAACTTTCCTCTTTGCTATAGTTAGGGCTGGCTCAGGTTAGCCCGGACCAGCCCTTAGTTAAGATGCTATAGGCTTAGACTGCCGGGGGACTTCTTAGGACACACCGAGCTCCTCTCTCACGCTCTCGTTCTACCGTAATTCACGTTTTATTAATGCACATGACTAATTCAGCTTCTTTCTGGGAGGTTTTTTGTGCTTTCTCCCCTAGTAGATCTCCGTAGATCGTAGTTCCTTCTAGACCCTGCTCCTGACATCTGCCGTGGCCCTGCTGACGCCTGCTGCTGCCATCATCATCATTATTATTTTAAATATTAATCATATTACTGTAATCATAAACCAACATTACCCTCTCCTTAAGTCTGTGCTCTCCCTCAGACTTGGGGTCAGACTGTGGATGGTGGTCTATCTTGGCTTACTACTCACAATTACTTGAATCGTTTCTATCATAGGAATTGAATGTATTGTACATTGTTCATTCTGTATACATGGCATCCATTGTAGTCTGTCCATCCCGGGAGTGGGATCCCTCCACTGACGTTCTCCCTAAGGTTTCTTCCCTTTTTTCCCTCTTGGAAGGGTTTTTTCATTTTTTGGGGAGTTTTTCCTGTGCCGATGGTGGGTTCCGGGACAGAGGATGTGTGTACAGACTGTTTTATTATTATAATTTGCGATTTTGGGCTATACTAAATAAAATGAATTGAATTGAATTGTTGTGTTTCATTAGTCCACAGTCTGCTATAGCGACGAGAAATAACAGCTAGTCACTCTTCTTAAAAACAGGGGGCAATTGTTTCTTTGTCTTGAATTATCTAATTGAAGTAAGGATCTTACTGGATGCTGCTGCTCCACATGCTCTCAACACTAGATCACTAGAATCACTAGAAACAGAGGAAAGAAGAAGACGCTTGTCTGGCAGTCATATAATTTGGAGCTCAGAGAGGAACCACAAGTGGATACAAACATCGCATGATTCGTTTCGGAAAAGCTTTAAAAATGACTTTTGTTCATTTACGAGTTGAGATAGAGCGATTAAAGAAATCGGAGGAATTGCTGATGAGCGAAAACAGCGCTCTCAAAAAAAAGATTAGCTGTTTTGCTATCGCTGAGAGTGACCTATGTAAGGAAAAGATTGAGATTATTACGACCAAAAGAACAGCCAATGCAAAGGACTTGCATATATCTCACCTAACCAATGACTTGCGTAACGACACAAACATCAAGAATACGGTTTTGAACATGGAAACCGGCGAATTGAAACAAAAGCTGGAAAAGTTAGCAGTGTAAATATCTTTTGCTGCCCAAAAAGTTGATAAGATAAGATGAAAAGTGAAGTTGAAAGGCATTTACTGTCGAATAAGATGCTTACGGTAGTAGTGGACAACCTGAGACAAACTGTGGCACATCGGACAATGGAGTTAGAAAAGCACAAAAAACAGGAGGTAAAGAAGAGACTCCGGATTTTCAAGATGAAGGAAGATCTGAAACACTTCAGTGAACGGCAATTGAAATCTGACACTAAGCACAAAACTCTCACAGAGGACGCTGTGTCCAAAGAACAGGAGATTGTGAATGTCAGGTATTAGATTGCTGATTTGGAGAAAAAGCATAGACAGCTAATGATCTATAAAGAGGGCACAACAAATGAGAGACATCTTGCCCTCAAAAACTTGTTCAAGGCTCAGGGGGAACTCTTTCAAAAGTGCAAAAAAAGTCAGAGTCTGCAGGAGGATGTCAATACCTTGAATATTAAGGCCGCCGATGGTAGGAATAAACAGCTGACCAAGGCTAACTTAGCTTGCAATTGCATGAAAGAAATGCTGAAAAAAGTGAAGTTGCAGCTTGTAGAAACAAAGAAAATGTATGACAACTTGAACAAATCCAAGTCCCACTTGCTGGCAGCAGCCAGACTGAACGAGGTCTTGGCAGAAAAGGCAAAGTTGGAAAAAGAGATTTTGCACCTAGACAATGTGGTAGAACAACGACAATCCAGCTCAACCTCCAGAACGTTACAAAGGTCACGCAAGAAAAATGTGTTAGGGACACTGGAGATCAGTTCTCTTTGCTCAAGGAGGAGAACGATATATTAAAATAGCATTTTCATTTCAGTAAATTTCGCGTCAGAAAGTTACAGCCGATAGTCTTGGTCCAGTTCTTGGACCAAAGAATGCCGAGATCGAGGACCTGAAGCGCAGGTTGGCACGGAGGCCAGATGACGCCATACTGAAGCTCCAGCAGTGTCAGTGGGACAACAGACAACTAAAAAAACAGTTGCAGGGAGCACAGGGACAAATCCTGGCGTACGAGTCTCAGTACGAGATAGCGAGAAAGGAGAAAGAGGAGCTGACATTTGCCCTGACGAAGCTCAGGTGTGAGTTTGGAGCAAAGAGTTCCCATTTGTCTCATATTTCCACAAGGACCAGCCCCCCACACAAAAGGATTTGAAGAACCCCCCCCATTTTAGTCGTCTTCAAAGTCAGACCATGCACAGGCCAACCCAGGGCTTCCCCAACCCCATCCCAAGCCCCATCTTCACCCCGAACCCAGGCCACACGCCAACCTCATCCCAATACCCATCTTAAATAAGGTTAAGTGTGTTTTTCTAGTTTTATCTTCTAAAAGTGGCTGTATATTGTTTTTCAAATTTACTTATATTTCCATTTACTGATGGTAACTGATGAACTTTTTACATGGTTGCAATGGAATAAACTTTTCAGTATGTCAGATAATTTGCAATCATATTGCTTGATAAAATGAAGTTGAATGGGATCCAATTTCAGACATCTTTAATTAAGCACAATGGCATCAGTTTGACCTTTTATGATAGTGGTGCTGTCACGAATGAGGAACAGGAGACAGCCAGGTGGTAAGTACAATAGAGTTTATTGACAAGATTGCGGAACCAGACGGAGATATGGTGAGTAGGCAGACATGTAATCAGGATGGAACTTTAACTTTAAGGTGAACTGATGAGGTGCAGGTGATGGGGATTAGAACTCTGGACTAACTAGTGGGAGGAGTGAGTGAAGCTGGTGGGATTCTGACAGCTGCGTTCATGAACTCAACAAGTGAAATATTTTTAACTTAAAATATACATTACATGTAAAATGGATATGACCGACACCTCCCCCCCCCCCCCCCCCTCCTGACTGGAGAAGAGAGGAGATCTACCCGGGGCCTAAATGTGTCGCATGTGGGGAGCATGCTGTAAGACCCTCTGAGGCTGACTTGGTATCTGTGACTTTGGGGGAAACACGTTGGACTGAACTTTAAATGATTTTCCGTGGGTGGGAATATCTTTTACCAGCCAGGATGATGCCTTTAATTTATCTAAGGGATATTTAGGTAAATGAATACTTCTTCCACCACAAGTCACTGATGGACCTGCATGAAGGAGAGGTTTGCGGAAGCTGGTAGGTGAAACTTAAAAGATTCGGTAGTGTGAAAAGTAATGATGCAGTGTGTGCGGCCAGTAGCTGCTGGTGTCCAGCAGAGGGAAGAGTTGGAGCCTTTTTGCTTGTTGATTCAGAACCGGTCAGATTATGACACTTTATAAATATATAAATACATTGCTACTAGAAATACTGAATGATGATGGTGTGAAATATATGTCTTAATGCAGTTCATATGGATATTGATCGCAGGTCTGTTTACTGACACAGTTCCACGAGCAAGGCAGCTGCAACTGTACCAAAGGTGGTCATTTGCCCCCTCCCCCAGACACAGCGCCCTCCCCTAAGCCCGCCCGCCCTCCGCCTCGCTCACTCCCTCGCTCCCCCCAGCAGCAGCAGCGCGCTGTCAGTGAAGAGTTGGCGGCCCTCGGAGCGACATGAACGGGGCTCAGCTCAGTGAATTCCCGGACGACTCGGAGCTGCTGCGGGCGGCCGTGAGCGGCCTGAGGCGGAGAGCCCTGCAGGCCGGGGAGCTGTCCGCCGTCTCCACCTTCTCTGGAAAGTTCCTTGTCAAGTTTCTGCGGGCCAGAGACTTCGACGAGGAGCTCTCTCTGAAGGTACGAAGCACTTGTGAAAGCTTATGGAGTATTATTCATACCTTGTGAAGGTATGTAAGTCCGTGACGTTACTTGCTGTCAGTGATGAAGTGGAACCTAAGCAGCCATCAGCACTCATTAGAGGAACTTTTACTGTGCTTGATTACTTGCGTTTTGTGCTAGATTATTGTACGTGCTCTGAAAATAAACACACATTGTGTGTTGTTCTTTTAAGTGTACTCAACTGGTTCAAATAAACCATCGTACTTAAAGAACTACACACAATGTGTTTTCGAACTTACCAGATCAGCTGGGAACTTGGTTCTCGTTGGACACAAACATATGATCGTTTTATAGGATCAGGTATTTCTGCAGATTAAACTTTCCAACTAAATATAAGTCTGTTAAAATGCAACATACATTAATGCAGTAGGATATGTATTCTGTAGGTTATAGAAAAATTAAAATGTTATTGAATTCTTTCAAGTACTGTGGGCTCTGGTCCTCGATTAGAACACAGGGAATCAGCTGAGCCAGCTGTTTCAAATCAAAAAGGATTTAATATACATCAAAGGCAGGTAGAATTACAAAGTAAATCAAGCTATTAATAGTGTAATATTCCGCTGAATACAGACTCTCCTTTTAGACAGTTGTGGCACGGTTTTCTAAAGACTTTTATCCAAAAGACGGCCTTTTTGTATCTGCAGGTGGTTACAACCTCCATGGATTGGCTGTGATTTCAACAGTTCCTCTCCGCCGCCATTATGGTGTCCAACCGGAAATCCCTCACTTGCCTAACTTGTCCTCAACCTCATCAATAACACATTCAGTTATCATACCTTTAGCCTAAAGCTTTTTCCGAGTAAACATAACATGGCATATAATACATCACCATTACCATCTAATATCTAACATTAGTTATAAAATAGAGGATGTCAAAGTAGAGACCCTCCTTCCAAGCTGGAGAGACTACAATGGATGTATTTTGACACAGCTTCTACTGGTGAAGTGAAATGTTCTGCTCCCAATACTGTGCGATTTTCTAGGGATCGGACCCAAGCGTAATGAATTGTAAGCTTAATAGTGAAAGGCTCCACAAGATTACAACATCCAACAGAAGAATCATCTAAAACAGGGGTGCCCAACAGGTCGATTGAGATTGACCGGTCAATCGCCAAGGCAGTGCTTTCATTGGAAAAAAAAAAATCACGTCAGGTCACCACGCATACACGGTCACCGCTGGACACATTTCATTTAAAAAATAATGGGGGGATTGCCATGACTTATTCGATTAAAATGTAGCTTGTGAGCCTAAAAGGTGTGAGCACCCCCAATCTAAACTCTTGCAGGAGTGAAAGTACGTAGACGTTTACTGTAATAACTTTGGACTGTGCATGAATTTCAATAAAATCCTGAATGAATGTAACAAAAAGTCAGCAACATCATGAGCCCACAGAGCTTTGTGCACACTTGCGTCTCACGTGTCACTGCACTTGCTCTTCAAGTCAGTTTTTTTGATGACATAAAAGCCAGGGAATAACCCTACTGTGGTCTGCAATCCCACACTGTCCTTTCACTGGCATGGGAACCTTTTGGGTCTTTAAGATCTACAGTGTTCTTCCTCACTCAACCACAATCACACACACGACGCACTGCCCTGTGAGCCATGCTTTACTTACAGTATGAAGGCAAATCAGTTCCATGCATCCGGAAATCAAACATTTGCCAGCAAAGTCGGACTTGAGCGACCAATCTTTGGATTGGACGGATGTCATCTCCGTTGCATTCCCAGAACTAAAGAAGCCCATTTTCGGCATAAAAAAAATGATGGGGTTGTAAAATTGAAATTATGAGATAATTCATGCGTTGGCAGAATATTCACAGATTCAAACTTTCCAGTTCAATATCTCGTTAGCGAAACCTTATTTTACCAAAACGGACCCTCTGCAAGGTGAACAAATTGATCTTAATCTGCTGCGAATGGAGACTCTGCATTGGTAAAATTATGGTAAATTAGGGTTGTAGCTGTTTGTCATCTACGGTTTGATACGGTTACAGAGAGGTGTCGTTTGTGTTTTGACTACATTTTAGCTCATGTCTTTGACTTTCTACCACTTTCTTTAGTGAGGCAATAGGTTTCTGTAATTCGGCAGACAGTAGAGCAGAGAGTTATTTACTTAGCATGGTTACACAACCCAGTAAAAGGTCATTAATGAATGAATGATTGATGGGAATAGTAGTCTGGGGAGTAATGGCAATGGAGGAAATTGATGATGATCATAGGGAAAAAAAACGAGGGCTATTGCACGAAACCAGGATAAGGGATTAAGCCGGAATATTACAGTTATCCTGGATGAATTTAGCTTTGACTTGGTATCTCACCAACTGCGTGAGCGAATCTCTTCACGGAGTACAGCGTAGAGTGGCTCTCCCACACTCTGGACCTGGACAAATACAACGAGACATAACTACTTGAGTAGGCAATTTAAGTTTAAAGATATCAACATATTACCTACACAAAAATAAGTAAATAACTAATGGCCAAGACCGACAACAATAAACACATGCCGAGTGCTGATCAAGAGTTTTGTGCAAGCGATTTAAGCTTGTGATTCTTGACCCAAATATGGCAGGCGTCATTGAGTGATTGAAACAAATTAACATTAATGAAAAAAATAATAATAACAAAAAGTCTTACTGTATCGACATTGATCGCTCCGAGCGAGCTGTGCTGTGGTAAGGCGGCCCCCAGCCTCGAATCTGGTTAGTTACCAACATTACCCTAAACCAGGAGTAGGCTGCGCTTCTGGACAAGGGTACTATCGAGAGAGTGGACGCCCGGTCGCTTCTACTCAACTTGTGAACAAGAAAGGCGGCGGACTACGTCCAATCCTGGACGTGAGGGGACTCAAGTTGCTGAGGAGGACAGCAGATGTCCTTCGGACTGTTTCCAAAGGCTTGAAGGATGCCTATTTTCACGTTCCCATTTGGCCTCACCGCCGACAGTTTTTTTGTTTCTACTAGTTCAGGGTGCTCCCATTCAGACTCCGTCTCTTCATGGGTGTTTACAACGTGTGTGGCCGCTGCCCTTTCCCCCCGCATGAAAATATTGCCGTACGTAGACAATTGGCTGATCTATGCGCCATCCCGGCTTGGACACCCTGTGCTCGCCTCAGTTCAAACCCCTCGCACAGGCAAAGTTGAAAGGAGGAGCGGTCAAGGCTACTGTGCCACTGACCGCGTGCACACCGCGGTCGGTGGGCCTAGGAAGGGCTACGCGCTTTCCAAGCAGCACCTGTCCCACTGGGTAGTGGAGGCCATCGCCTGTGCATATAGGGCGAGCGGCTGTCCTCTGCCTCCCGGAGGGAGAGGCCACTCCACCAGGAGTGTATCCAGGTGTTCGTTTTATAGGCGGGGATTAGTCCCACCTCCGTCAGAAGGGATTGACAGAGTAAAATGTCAGTCTGTCTCATTTTTTGGTTCTAAACCATTTTTGATTAAAAACGAGAAAACAGTTTTTCGTTATATGGTTTTTACGGTTAAAGGGACTATCAAAAGGTACACGGACTAAATATTCGTCGCGGAAGGGAGGGAATAGTAGTAGTCACGCGCTCTCAGTCCGCTGGTGGGCGAAACTGCCGTGTGTAGTGAGGAGTAAACAATTGTAAACGTGATGAGGGTGGTCCCATCACGCATTTCTTCCTGCACCATGACATGCCAATTTCTGAACGAACATTAATTGTAAGATATTTAGAATTAGACACAGCTCATAGAGATTTGTGAATATGGTTGTAAAACATATTCCCGCATTGTGAATAAGGGTTTGAAATTAGGCCAAGTCTTTTAGGGTAAATTTCCAGAGTAACATTAATTCGGCCAGGCTTTTTCTCTTTTTAATTACATCTGCCGTTTTGTCTCTTTTTTGCATATTATATGCTTCACCTCCTCATAAATTTCGATAATTAATTGCTGGTCAGCGGGTGAAAAATACGCCGCGCACGTCTGCTCCATTTCTGCATCAGTAAATCTGTGATTGATACCATGGCAAGCTCCTGAAGTTTGCGGATAAGAACACCCTCATTGGACTGATCTCTGGTGGGGATGAGTCCGCCTACAGGTGGGAGTCTGACCATCTGGTGTCGTGGTGCAGCCAGAACAACCTGGAGCTCAATGCTCTAAAGACAGTGGAGATGGTTTTGGATTTCCGGCGGAACAGAGCCCCACCCTCCCCCATTACCCAATGTGACTCCCCCGTCACTATTGTGGACTCCTTCCGTTTCCTGGGCTCCATCATCACCCAGGATCTCAAGTGGGAGCTGAACATCAGCTCCATCACCAAGAAGGCTCAGCAGAGGTTGTTCTTCCTGAGGCAGCTGAAGAAATTCAACCTGCCAAAGACGATGATGGTCCACTTCTACACGGCCATCATCAAGTCCATCCTCTGCTCCTCCATCCCCATCTGGTACGCTGCAGCCACAGCCAAGGACAAGGGCAGGCTGCAGCGTGTCATCCGCTCTGCAGAGAGGGTGATCGGCTGCAATCTCTTGTGCGCTGTGGGAGGCTTGCGTCGAAAAAGCCTAGAAAAATGGCTCGACACACGCAAGGACGCAAGGCACACGCAAGGGGGGCTTGCGTCTGCGTCGCTCTGAAAACGCAGAAGCATAAACTAGGCTTAAGACCTCCCGCCACACGAACAGTTTCCTCCCGTCGGCAGTCGGGCTGATCAACAGAGCCGGTCCCCCACTGACTCACTATAACATTCCACCGGTCACTCCCCTTCATACTGCACATGTCACTTTAACTGTAATTTTTCACTTTGTTGTCACTTTGTCGTCACTTTGTTACCTGTTCGCTAGTGTACTTTATGCTTCATATTTTTTTAACTTTTTTAATATTTTTAACTCTAACTTTATTCTCTTGTTTTATACTAACCCATAGCCTTATTCTACTAACCATTTGCATTAGCATTTCCTTTTACCTTATTTTATTACTTGTGCACTGCTGTCTTGTTGTCTATTGTTACACTGTCTACTGTCACACACCAACCGCCAAGACAAATTCCTTGTATGTTTGACATATTTTGGCAATAAATGTTTCCTGATTCCTGATGGTCTATTTAAGAAAGCCGTGGACGAGCACTTATCCCAGCTTTGTACACCTGGATTGACTCCCTTCTCATCCTGGCTCGACATATGTGCAACCGATTGAGCTGCGATGATCCGATCACACTAAAGGCTGGCGCATGCTTCTGCGAGTTTACGCGCAGTTGTCGACGCACTCGTTTCAATTCATGGTTCAAAAAGGCTTGCGCGTGTTGCAAAGCGATTCACCGCCAGTAGGTGGAGTAATGTTTTTTGTCGAAGACGCCCTAGAGAGGGACGTCTTTGTGTGTGCAGCACAAACCTTCCCGAAACGTCCCAAAACGAGTCAGTGTAGCGTGTACACAGTGCTTGGCTCAACACGAATGCTTGGTAACATAATGTTCTTTGAAAGTAACTGGAACTCACCCAACTAGGTCTAAGCTCAGCCGTCTGTACGACTGGTACACATGCACAAACTCACTCTGACTTTCAGCACACTAATAGAGGTTTGGAGAGAGAGGGAGAGCGAGGGAATGGACTCCAGTGCTGGACTGATTCTGATTCTGACCATGCTGAAACCCTTTATTTCAACATTATGGCCTGGCCTTCATCTTCTGTTTATCTCATGTTTACTTCATGTGTCCTGCAGCTTTTACTGAACTACCAGCGGTGGCGGAGAGAGAGTCCTGAGATCAGCACCTGCCTGTCTCCGTCCTCTGTGATTGGTCTCCTCAACACAACTTACCACGCCGTCCTCCCGCAGCGTGACCACACTGGCAGCAGGGTGCTCATCTACAGAATCGGTGTGTGTGTTGATGTTCACCTGAAGCTTTTGATGGAGACATTTTCTACTAAAAGCATTGCTATTATGTTACATTTGTTCCGCAATCTCCATGCAACCAGATGAGTGTATGATCATGTAATTATGTTTCTCTTTAGGCTTGTTATCACTGCATTACATCTTCACATACTCTGAGCTTTACAGGGTAGACACGGCCGTCTTAAATATGAATAATTAAAAAGGTTTAACTGGAGAGTTTACAACCGGTGGATCCTTTCCTTGGAATCCCACATGCTCACTTCAATCTAAATCCAATTGAACGAGTCGAGGAGATTTCGTGGCGCAGGGTGGTTCGAGTCCCGGCTCCCCCATGTCCCACGTCAAAGTGTCCCTGAGTAAGACTCCTAACCCCTAATTGCTCTCCAGGCAAATGTAATGTAAGTCGCATTGGATAAAAGCATCAGCTAAATGACCTGTAATGCAATGAATGGAACATGGCACAGTTTTCTTCATGAGTCAAAAGGTATTACGCATCAAATGTTTTGAGTTTAGCCTGGAATAGACCTTTTGATGCTGTGAAGCTCTACTAAAAGCTAATGTAGAAGAATAATCTTCCAACAGAACAGACTCTCAAAGCAAAGTCCCAACCCTGAATCTCCAAATCAGCTGTGTTAGTGACTCATGGCTGAAAGGGGGAAACATGGCAGAGCTACAGGTTCATGAAAATGCAAAATTCCAATGACCAGCGTTGGAATACACACACACACACACACAGACACACACAAACATCATAACGACCGATCAAGACAAGTGGGTTTTGCTGCTGTTAGCAAGCCCTCCTTCCCTCGACTAGCAGAAGAAGTTGCTTTTGGAGAAAATCCCTTTAGAGAATAACCTCTCTGATGAGCTAAAGGAGCCTCAACAGAGTGTAGCGAATTCCAGTAAAAAAGAAAATAACTAACTTTGATAAAGCTACCTGTACAGCACACAGGCTGTGAGGGCCTAGCTTGAAATATAGTGACGCTTTTACCTTTTAAGGGGACTATAAATCAATTATAGTCTGGTTCTGTATCCTCTTATAAAAAATTGTCAATGCAATATCAAGGCTGTTTTGTTTTTATCTGATTGCTGCTGTGTCTTTAAAAAATTTTGCTGCAAAATTGGTTTTCTCTAGTGTTGTTGTCTGACTGCCAACTACTTTAGGGAATTCAATGACTATGTAAAAGTACATGATACAACCCCCCCCCCCCCCCCCCCGACGTATACAGAATCCCTCTCAATCATCACTTCTGACCCTCTAGGTCAGTGTGCGGTGGTGTCTACAGAGACCATGGCCTGTGCCTGTAAACTGAGTGGATCTATTTTAAAACATAACCACTAAATAATCCAAAAAGTGGTCAACCTTGTATAGACAACAACACACTCCACCCAGAGAGCCTGAGTGGAAGTAGTCAGGTTGTGAATGGGTGAATTATGTCATGTAGTGTTAAAGTGCTTTGTCGGAGGACTATAAAAGCGCTGTACAGTCCAGTTACCATTTACAGTCTGTTCTCTCTGTCTGCAGGCCAGTGGAACCCTAAAGACTGGACGGCCATCCAGGTGTTCAGAGTCAGCCTGATAACATCGGAGATCATCTCCACGGAGGCGGAGACGCAGAGAAGGGGTCTAAAGGTCATATTTGACCTGCAGGGATGGAGTTTGGGCCATGCTCTCCAAATTAACCCTTCCCTCGCCAAAAAGATATCCTCTGTACTTTCGGTAAGCCACGAATCTTGCTTTAGGTTGGATATTTGTGAATACTACTTCTACTATTTGCCATAACATATTTTCTCACCCTATAGTGCTATGTTTCATATGTCACTTTAACCACAATAAAATTTGTATTGCTTTGCAGCCCCCCCCCCTTTCTCAAAAGTAACAGGAAACCTTGACTAACCTTGACTAAACCTTGGCATTAACGAAGAACAGTTCACAAAGTGGCAAACTGGGCTGCTCCAAAATGTGCAAAAGAAATCTTTCAAAATAGTTTTAAAATAAAAGATAAAATAAGAGCTATTTGGAGTTGAGAGTATTTCAAATGACACATGGACACAAAACACTAGTGGAGCCAGGTTTAGTTTTTTTCACTATTATCGCCAAAGAGCATGCGTCAATCAGAAAGCGTGTATAGTTTTACTGGCGGGATGAACAGTATTCTTTAATTGGAGAGGATAATTCCCACTGTGACCAAATCATTCAGCAAGCTCTTCTTCCGCTGCATGTGTTAAGCTTCTACACTCTTTATGCCACTCCTCTGTATGTACAACCAATACATCTTTATGATCATAGACATAAACCAAATAGTTAACTTGAATCCCATTTCGGCGGAAGGCCTTGCACTGGTCCTGATTGATCGTTGATCCACCACCATCTGTGGTGAATGCTCGTCTGTTGTGTGCTACATGTGCGTAATTCCAGACAATAGCTGCAGTTCATATGAGCAAATGGCTCAATAAGATGTTTTTGACCAAGTAGTGAGCTGCTTAATGTGTTCTTACACCCATCCTTGTTCGTGTGTTTGCATGTTCAGGACTCCTTTCCACTGAAAGTTCGAGGAATCCATCTGGTCAACGAGCCAATGTTCTTCCGGCCAGTCTTCGCCATGATTCGTCCTTTCTTGCCAGATAAGATCAAGCAGAGGGTTAGCAGCCTGTCCATCACATTGATTACACTGAAAAGAACCCCGTGTCCCCTGTAGTGTGCAATGAATTATACAACTCGCGGTTCAGATAGGATCAGCAAAAATGGAAAAAAAATAGCAGTTTTGGAGATGTCCGATTTTTTTTGACATAATACTAATTGTCAATCATTAATGATCCATATGGACAGATACAAATTATTTTGAAATTATTATTTTTATTATAGCAGCTGGTAAGCAACAAAAAATAATTTAGTTGATTGTAGCAGCTGCTCTACAAGGATTCATCATTACAAAACAATATTTCAACCGCTCCTCAACAAAGGTAAATAGTCAATGGCCTGTACTTGTATAGCACTTTTCTAGTCTTCTGACCACTCAAAGCGCTTTAACACTACATGACATCATTCACCCATTCATACACTGATGACAGGAGCTACCATACACAGAGCCACCTGCCCATCAGTAACTAACATTTACACACCAGTCACAGCTACAGGAGGAATGTTGGGTTAAGTGTCTTTTGCCCAAGGACACATCGACATGCCTGGAATCCAACTGCCAACCCACTGATGCTCCCCACTCACCCACAGTCAAAAATTCTAAATGTTATCCTAATCCTTCTACTTGTATTCCTCAATAGTTTATTCATAATAAAACAGTTAAAATCATTAGTAAATAAAAGACTAATTTGGTACTAGTAGTTTTAATGATGAATTATCTGTTCATCTGTAATATGTATTTATGTTCCTTTTAACTAAGGAACATAAATACCAATACCAGACGATCACCCAATCGTCAGTAAAACTTTATTTATTTTTATCGGTTAATCTGTGTGATTATTCCCATGCGTGTCGAACCGCTCTCCGTTACATCACTAGTCTGTTGTAAACATCCCCTTTTAGCATTGTTTAAAGAAGAGTTCAATCTCTCCCTACTATAGATCAATATGCACGGTGCCGATTTCCACGACACTCTAAGCGACTTCTTCTCACCGCCCGTCCTACCGCCAGAATATGGAGGGGAGGGGCCTAACATAGCGGAGGCCTGTCAGGACTGGACCCTTCGGCTGCTTCAGTCAGAGAAGCTCCTGCAGCAGATTTCCAACCACCCGACAGGTGACATCACGATTACTCCTGAGGACGCCTTGATTTCAGAGGAAGGGGAGACCGAGCCACTCTTTGAGGGATGATTTTTTTTATTTGGCTCTTCAGATCACACATACACGCTGCCGTATTTGGACTTTGGATTTAAGACATTCTAACACTTGCTGGCAGCTGTTTTTGAAGCTTTAACTGGTTCACCTGATGGACCTAGTGTTCTCCTCTTACACTGCCCATTAAAATCTGACCAAAGAGAGACATTTTGTATTGTTGGGTCAATTCTGTCCAGCATGAGGAAAACTTTCCCAATTTCAAGTCAATGTTTTAAGTTGTGACTTTAAATCCGGATGCTGTTAGCTTAGCTCAGGTTGAAGACCAGAAATGGGAAGAAGTTGTAGTTTGCCTCTGTAAGTGATGATGTATCTCCTCCCCACAGCGTACTAAATATCAAGAAATGCTGAAGTGTTGTAGTGACATTTCGCTTAACATCCCTGTGGAACACCCGGCATTTAATATTGGAACAAGCCATGCTAGCAGTTTTCACTGAGAACCAAAAGCACTAACATGATCGCAATCTGTGTATAGAGCATTTATTTCCCACAACAAAGTTAATGTGTTTAAATTGTAGTTGTATCTGCTTAATGCTCATGTCAATAGTATAGTTTATTTAGTGTTGTAACAAAAAACTGTGAAATTGTTCGCAATGAATTTAGAATTATTTGTAGCTTCATAGTAATGGAATTCATTTATTTTTGTTGCCATTTTCAAAAAATGCAATGAATGTATTTATTGTGCTCGGGTCTTTCTGAACACACAATTGTATATACTTTGAAGTTACATAAAGAAAAAGAAAAAACAAAGCTATACTGCTTTCATGTGGCAACACATTTTTAAGTGTTAAATAATTTTGTGTTTGCAATATGATTAGTTATTTTTAAACATGATTTTCTGAATATTTGAAGCAACCATCCAACTGTGTTTTTGTTTGTCTGATAATGAATAGACAAAGATTCATGCACATTAGAGGCATGGTGAAATAAAGGTATCAAGACTTTGTAAATATATGTGTACATCTATATATTCAGTGCTGTGAAAAATGTTTTCCCCCTTCTTGGTTTTTTATTTTTTTTGCATGTTTCAAATCATCAAACACAATTTTTATATTAAACAAAGATAACCTGAGTAAATACAAAAAGCACTTTTCAAATGATGATTTCATTTATTAAGGGCAAAGAAATATCCAAAGTGAAAAAGTAATTGCCCTTTAACCGTTATATTTGGTTGTACCCCCTTTGGCCATCAAGCGTTTGTGATAACTGACCACGAGTCTGTCACATCGCTGCGAGGACGTTTTTTGCAAAGAATCCCCTGACTATCACACTGCCAGCACCATGTGTGGCTGTTGGTATCATTTTATTTTTATGAAATGCTGTGTTACTTTTACACCAGAGGGAACGGAATGCACACCTTGCATAAAGCTCCACCTTGGTTTGCCCAAATGTCTTTGATCATCAAGATGTTTCCTGGCACATGTGAGACAAGCGTTTGTTTTGTTGGTCAGCAGTGGCTTTCTCCTTAGAACTCTCCCATGGATGCAGTGTTTGCCTCGTCTCTTTCTTAATGTTGAGTCATGCAATCTATCCTTCACTGAGGCCAGTTGATGCACTCTTGAGTAGGCTGTCCCCTCCTGGGAAGGTTCACCAATGTTCCAAGTCTTCCCCATTTGTGGATAATGGCTCTCACCAAGGTTTGCTGGAGTCCCAAAGCCATTGCTCCTGTAACTGTCACTACTGTGTGTGAATGGTGTGAATGCTAGTTACTGATGAGCAGGTGGCCCTGTGTGTGTCTGTGTGTAGTTGCTGTCATCATGACATTAAGTGTTAAAGTGCTTTGAGTGGTCGGAAGACTAGAAAAGCACTATGCAAGTACAGTCCATTTACTATTTACCTTTGTTGAGGAGCAGCAGTTCATCCAAATTGTTGACCAGAGAGCAGACGATGAATTGTTTGTGCATAGAAGCTCATCAAATCAAGGGGCCACTTTTAACAGATGTAAGCTGTTCAGCGTTTCTAGCCTGAATACCCTCTTCTAACAAATGGATTTGCGGAGGAATAAAAGACGGTGACAGTTCGGCTCAGTGATCACTAATCCAAAGTAAAACTTTAATGACACATGACACTTCCAGCAGTTCCCATTGGCTGTCAGTCCCTGTCAATCACACAGTACCTGTGTAATTCTAATCAAGCTTGTGCACACAACAATTTTCAACACACATTTCCTCATGTGTGTTGAAAGGAGGTTTAAATCTGAGAAATACTTCTCAGGACATTTTCATGTAATGTCTTCTTCTCACATATGATGAGATATAATAAATCTGAGCTGGTATAACTTGCAGAGATCCTATCATGGTGTATTGCCGTCAGAATGTAATGTAATTATAGTCCATTGTGTAGCTAACGTCCTCCCTCCTTTGTTTGCTAAAAATGCCTGCTACAGTTCACATTAAACTAAAACAATGAGCTGAAAGAGGCTACAATGTTTCTTGCAGGATCAGCTTCTTCTGCTCTAACTTTATTTTGGCAGCTGCACTAACCGTTTAGTTTGGAGGTTTTTCAATTCTTCACTACAATGAACATAAACACTTAAATTCTGGTTTATATAGTAAACAATGAATACAACAGTATTGGAACTACCTCAAAACGGCTTTACTGCAGCCAGCAGCGACATCAGAGTGCAGAAAGAGTCCTTTAGTCCACGTGAATCTTTCCATGAATCTTTCACCACTGATTAAGTCACAAGTCTAATAATCTCAGTAATGCGGCTGTGTAACTTTAATAACCTTTGGTGCCCTCCCTCGTCTCTGTTTCTCTGACTGTACAGACCTTTGAACAGTGTTAGAAGGTCAGTAAACACGTCTATCAGCGCTGCTCAGCCCGGTCCACATGATCCACTCTACAACACTGCAGGGCCCAAATGCCAGGAATCAATCAACTGTGTAAGTACGACTAGAGTTCACTCTTGACAAGGTAAACAATATAGATTAGCCTTTTCTCCACTGCTCATTCTCTGCACGTTATTTGAGATTTCAGAAGTGTGTCCTTGTCTTGTACAGACTGAGCCGTGCACTCTCCCCTGGCTGAGTCAGTTTTTGCTCAGTGAAGTTAACAGGCTCAGTCCAAACCCTGCTGACACTGGACCAAAGCACATGAACAGAGTTGGAGATTGTAGTCAATGTGGGGTATGAGGCGCACTGATAACAGCTGGGCTAGCCATGTTGCAGGGTGGTTGTTCCTATCAATACCAATACATTGAACATCTCTGTAATAGATGGGAAAGTTGCCCAAACCCATTTAGACTTCTGTGTAATTCACAGATGTTCTGGTTCTTATTGTCCACCTTCCAAAGGCGGCCGTGAGGTTGACCAGACATGCCAACAGAATGAAAATCAGGTGTCCAAAGCAGAAATAGATGTTGCGTCATCACTCCTACCACTAACCTCCCCTGAAGAGAACGTTGCATTAGTGTTGTCCTGACATTGCACCATCTACTGTACATACAGAACACCCTGTACGAGGACTATGCACACCCAACAGTTTATCATAAGCCACTTTGGCTCTTTACAGACTTTGCTAACCAACTTATGGGTTAAAGCACAATGAATAACAGCTAGAAATAATTACATTAATATTACATTCACTAATGCTGTTGTATTCATCGTCAGTAATTGTTCGGCTTACTATTGTCGTTATACAGTAAGAATCATTTTGTCATATTCATTGACTTTGTTGTAACTGTTATGTTGTTCGTTCTGTACACATGACGTATATCACTCTTCTGTCATTCCTGATAGAGAGATCCTCCTCTGTTACTCTCCTAAATGTCTCTTAATTATTTTGGGGGGGGCAGGTGACTGTTGTAATGAGAGGGTTTCAGGACAGAGGATGTTGCATGTGTTCAGTGAAATCCTCAGAGGCAGATCTTTGATTTGTGATGCTAGCTATACTATCCATCCATCCATTGTCAAACCGCTTATCCTGCACACAGGGTCGCGGGGGGGGCTGGAGTCCATCCCAGCCAACTTCGGGCGATAGACAGTGTACATCCTGGATTGGTCGCCAGCCATTCGCAGGGCTACACAGAGACATACAACCATTCACACTCACACATCTACGGGCAATTTAAAGTCCCCAATTAACCTGATCCCCAGAGCATGTCTTTGGACTGTGGGAGGAAGCCGGAGAACCCGGAGAGAAGCCACGCAGACACGGGGAGAACATGCAGACTCCACACAGAAAGGTCACTGGGCGGAATCAAACCCAGGACCTTCTTGCTGTGAGGCAACAGTGCTAACCACCACGCCAACGTGCCGCCCTAGCTATACTAAATAATGAATTAAATTGAAAGAAATTATTGAATATTAGCATTGAATGACAGGCAGGACTTGTGGTTGTGACACAGGAGACAAACTCAGTGTTCACTTTTTTTTAACTTTTAATGTGAAAAAACACATCTGTTGATACGTGAAACAGCATTGTGTGCATGTGAGATGTTTTTGTTATTTCACATGTGTTTTTCATATCCGGTTGTTTGTCTGTTGATGTGATGCAAACCAACTTGATGAAATCTAGGTTAATCAAGAGCTTCCTGTGTCCACATGGTTCCTCTTTAAGACAGGCAGCTAAAGTGTCCTTTAGTGTATTACAAAAGAAGAAATGTACAAAGTCATTATTTTTTTCCAAATTGTTAACTTTTGAAGGCGGGTATTGATTATTGTGTTAAAGCAAAACCCATAGAGTGCATCATATGAAAGACTTATAGAGTCGTACAATGATCCCATACAGCTCTAATATGTTTGAGTCAACCACTTGATTAACGTAGTATAGCATGGAGTTGGTTTAACAGAAAAGGGCCTGATTTTAATCAATATGGGATTCACAGAAATTAAATGGATCCCCTGTTGAAGATAACCATACAAAGGATTCACTATTACTTTTTCTTATGTAAATTGACTTACAGTACTAGTCAAAATTTTGGACACAACTTTCAATCAGTTGAATGAGAAGGTATAAAAGGTTCAAATAAAATGAAGGGCATAGAAGCACATTTTGAATTATAACTGTTCTCCATTCTCGCAGTACATTGCAATACTTTTATTTGACAACTTTTGTTGCCCAGAGAGGCCCGGCCTAGACTACAGCGGATCTACAGTACATTACAGGTCATTTAGCTGATGCTTATCCAAAGCGACTTACATTGCTACTTTTTCACAGCAGACTTTTTCCCACAGGTGAAGCCAATAATAATTGTTGATTTGTACTGCAATTATTACTGGAACAGATCCATCAAACCGGTGCTTTTCCTCCAATGATAAACCACCAGTGCTGCTACGATAGAGGTCGGGGAAGTTAACTTATTCGTGTTATTTCTGCAAAAGGATTACTACCTCAGTATAATTTATTGACATAAAATAAGTAGTATTGCTTTCATTGAGCTACTTTCTTTTAAATAGTGTGTATTCCCATCAACAACAACAGATGATGAGTGTCTTGTGTCATACTGGGCAAAACCGGATAGCGTGATCATGAGTACTTTACTGACACATGCACATGGTTTCTGACATGGCTGACAGGCCAAAAGGCCCCTAGAATGAAAATGAACAACGGCTATAGATGATGAATAAAAACTCTGCAGTGAGATATTGGGATGTCTTTTCAGACTGACAGGACTCCATTTTTCCACCACTGATCTGATATTCATCAATGTTTCCTGAACCTCCAAACTGTTGCGTGGAGATCCACAAAAACATTTTGACGGCTGCAGAACAGCCATAGCTTTTAGTTACACTACGGCTGACTAGGGTCAGAGAGATTCACTGCATCCACAGAGAGTGAACTTTGCCTGCACTGTCAGCAGAGCGCGCACAAGGGCTGCTGGGTGAGACGTGCGGCTCCCGCGGTCTGTTGCAGGATCATCGATGTAGATATTTCTATTTCAAAAATGAGCAGTGGTTTTTCAGATGATATGCACCTGCAAGCAAAACCGTTGGAACGGAAGTTGGACGGATCCACAGCATAATTGGAGAGCTTGTCCCATTTCCTCTCCAAGCTTTGCAAACATAGAGACATAAAGCTATAAATCTTTTATTTTCAAGAGGCAGCGGCTCTGTATTTCAAATTAAATAATTTACAGTCGCGT